GGTGTAATACTGACAGGCTGTACAATGCCAGAACGAGAGATGTGTGACTATTCTTCTAGAACATGGTGCTGATCCAAATCTTGTGGACATTGCTGGCAATACTGCTCTCCACTATGCCACCGTTGGTTCAAATACATCAATAGCAGAGAAGCTGCTTTTACACCATGCAAATATTGAAGCGAGAAACAAGGTACAGATCAGCTGTCTTTATGAAGTATTTGAAATAATATATAGGTATATATAAGTTTTTTTAGCCACAAAACATTTTATTTACATATTTACTTATATGTGTAATAAATACATATACTGAAGTCTATACCTCAGGTCCTGTCGTCATGGAAACAACTCCAAAGCCAGGGCAGGGAGGGCTAGAGAAAGATGATGCCCATGGAGAGGGCAAAGTTCCGTCCCCCAGCCACCCTTCCGCCCTGGAAAGAGAATCTTCCCATTAGCGCTTGGGAGTGAATGGTGGGCTCAGAGCCCACAAAGGATTGAAGGCCTAGAGGGGAGTGGAGGTGATGGACGCTGGGTGCTGTGCAGGGGCTTAGGAAATGGGTGCTGCTGGGAATGGGTGGGAGACTCTGACCCAGTGGGGTAACTTGGGTGAGTGTAAGTGGGAGGAGAAAGCAGCAGGTTGCAGGCCCTGGGCACTCCAGGCCCCAAGGTTCTGAAAATGAGAGCAAGGGGATCAGGTCATGACATCCTACAGGGGTATCTACTTGTGCTTGTAGCCACTCTTCCCGCCATGTACCACATTGAGGTCTCCCATTTCAGAGAGTAGTTCCTGCTCAGCCTTGTGTAGTTCCTCAGTGGGGTGGTAGCTGTACGTGGGGAATAGCTGATGACCATGCTCACCAGTCCACCTTCTGTTTCTTTGACACGCCTTACTTCTACCACTGCCCTTACAGAAACACTGTTGGTTGACATAGGTAGGGTCAGTTTTTCATATTTGGAAGCTCATGCATTCCCTGAATGAAAATATTTTGAAGTAACTGAATTGTCTAAGATTTCACTTTAATGATACTTTTTATTTTAAAAGATTTTATTTATTTGAGAGAGACAGAGAACAAACATGAGTATGGAGGAAGGGCAGAGGGAGAGGGAGAAGCAGGGGAGCCTGATGCAGGGCTGGATTCCAGGACCCCGGGGGTCATGACCTGAGCCAAAGACAGACGCTTAACTGACTGAGCCACCCAGTTGCCCCAGAGCCACTCTTTTAATTCCGAGTCCCTCTCCTCAGTGACCCATTTGGATCAAGAGTGCCTTATGTTGACATCTGGGATCCTGATACCGTTGATAGAAGAGAGTCAAGCATGTTTGTGTAACCCGGAGAAAACCTTCATCTTTTTTTTTTTTTTTTTTTAAAGATTTTATTTATTTGTTTGACAGAGAGAGAGCAAGAGAGGGAACACTAGCAGGGGGAGCGGGAGAGGGAGAAGCAGGCTTCCCGCCGAGCAGGATGTGGGGCTCGATCCCAGGACCCTGGGATCATGACCTGAGCCGAAGGCAGACGCTTAACGACTGAGCCACCCAGGCACCCCGAAAACCTTCATCTTTATTGGAAAGCTCTCAAAACTATACCCCTGAAACTCTAATTTCTCAAATGTTAATGTTTGCCACATAAAAGTATTGTCAAATGGGGATAAGCAAATTTAAATGGATTTCTTTTGTGCTAGATATATAGTGCAGTTTTGTCATATTTCTCAATCATAGATGATCATTGAATCTTTCTATTGGCGCACAGTACTTATGTTTCAGCAAAGTATATGTTCTTTGGAATGTAATTTAAAAAACACTACTCCAGAGATAATCATTTAGGTTGTTAACTCAATAAAAATACTTAAAGCATTTACTGCTATGTTTTAGAGTTTGGAGATATAGAGAAAAAAAATAATCCCTTCCCTCAAGAAGCTCTTGGCTGAGATGGGTGCAATAAAATAACTAGAGCATACCATAATAAATACTGTGATAGAAGCCAAGATTCTTGGAACCAGTCAATGAAGTGAGTTTTGGAGAATGACTGCAGTTTATCTGTTGAAGAGGTGGGAGAGGGCTATTTAGTTTAGTTTTATTTATTTTATTTTTTTAAAAAGATTTTATTTATTTGAGAGAGAGAGAGTGGGCGAGAGAGCTCGAGCATAGGGGCGGGGCAGAGGGAGAGGGAGAGGCCAACTCCCCTCTGAGCAGGGAGCCTGGGATCACGACCTGAGCTACCTGAGCTGACCTGAGCCCAAGGCAGATGCTTAAGGGACTGAGCCACCCAGGCCCCCTGAGGAGGGCTATTGTAAAGAGAAGGAGCAGCTGGTGAAAGCACAGAAGGGCGAGAGTACTTTCTCTATTATATATTTGAGTTTAGAGGATCCTTTATAAGTTTTAAAATTCAGTATGGAAATATGTAATTTTGTAAATTATAAATTGTTTTTGCACTTTTACAGGATGAATTCACACCATTTTTACTCGCTGTAAGTAAGAACAAACAGCAAATGGTGGAATTTTTAATACAAAAAGAAGCAAATGTACATGCAGTTGATAAGTCGCAAAGGTACAGTAGTTTTGGTTTTTTTTTTTTTAACCTTACATTGTTCTGGAGTGGTATAGTTACTCACGTCAGAAAGATTAACTTAATAAGAAGAGGATTAATTTATAATTATATAGTGAAAAATGTCAACATGTCATCAGTTAGGCAGAAAGCAATTATTCTGACAGGGCAACATGGAAGAACAGTGTATGGTAGAATTTATATTCCTTCATATTATTGACTGATGTCATTTGCAGTCTTTTTTTTTTTTGCCATATGATTTTATATTAGCTAAAGGGGTTTCATGTTAGTTTTATTAGTTTTATAAAGTGTGGACTCCTAACTTTTATTTTACTTTATGATGCAATATTGGACTTCTTAACCCTTTTATAGTATTTTTGAAACTTCTACTTCATATATATTTTCTTTAAAAGATGAATATTAAACATAAATAGGAGTTGTTTTGTCTTTTGGATGACTCTTTGCTTTAAATTGCTTTTTGTTTTTGAAGAATACTGATGTTAGATGATCCCTAAGTGATTATTAATTACTATTACCAGACAATATGGGCTCATCATCCTTTTTCATGTTCAGTATTTTTTTTTTCCATTGGTAAGGTAGAAGGATGAAAGATAACTTTAATTGAATAGACTTTTCCTTTAATGAGGACATATCATAGGTGGGTGATAAAGAGAAAAGAGATGGGCTTTAGATTGACACAAGACTAGGTTTAATTCCTAGCTTTCGTGCTTGCTGGGCGTGTGACTTTGGAAACATTACTAATTATAACCAGATACATCTCCTGATATGAAAAGGAGGATAATAATATATCCTTCAAGGGTGGTTGTGTGTAATGTTTTGTATATATATAGCATTTAATTGAGTGCCTACCACGTGCTTATCTTAGCATCATTACTGCAACTATGACTGTTTTATCACCATTAGTATGAATACTGTTATTTTAAGCCTGCAAGTAAGCTTTTTTATTTTTTTATTTTTAAAGATTTTATTTATTTGAGAGAGGGAGTATGAGCAGGGGGAGGGTCTAGAGCAGGGAGCCAGACGTGGAGCTTGATCCCAGGACCCCGAGATCATGACTGAGCTGAAGGCAGACGCTTAACCGACTGAGCCACCCAGGCGCCCCTGCAAATAGCTTTTTATACGGACCTGTCCTCTAGGTGGCTTGGAAGCACACTGTATCAGATTAAGGAAGAAATGGGGAAGTCTTTTTTAAAAATCTTTACCCATTCAGATGAGTGACCTCAGCATAGTTTCTTGTTCATCAAAGGACTTTAAAGCAGCAGCTTCTACTGTCATACCCCAGTAGGACAAGAGGCTTCTTGTTTGTCCTTTCCTTTTAGGCATGGAGGTAATTCACAAAGATGAGCGCGGGAACATGTTAATGGTCAGTTCTGTACTGACAGGCAAGATATTACCCTGATAAAGGATATCAAATGAGCTGTTTAAATAACTCTTAAGTTCCTAAGGGTGAAGTTATCTCTCTGTTATTTTAGAACAGCCCTCATGCTTGCTGTACATCATGATTCTGCAGATCTAGTCAGGGTTCTTCTTCAGCAAGGTATTGATATCTCTTCTGAAGATGCGAATGGATGGACTGCAGAAGAATATTCTATTTTTAGTGGTCATAAAGTGTAAGTGTTTACATTAAAGTGTTAATTATTACTAAACTGAGGTATATAATAATTTAACTGTTTTTTTTTTTTTAAGATTTTACTTATTTATTTGACAGAGAGAGACACAGCGAGAGAGGGAACACAAGCAGGAGGAGTGGGAGAGGGAGAAGCAGGCTTCCCGCGGAGCAGAGAGCCTGACGTGGGGCTCGATCTCAGGACCCTGGGATCATGACCTGAGCCGAAGGCAGAACCTTAAGGACTGAGCCACCCAGGCGCCCCTACCTGTTAGTTCTTATGTAACAGATGAGAGTTCGTTGTTTGATTCAGGCAGTTTTGGGATGGCACTGAGTTAGCCCACGTCATTTGCCAGAAATCAAGAAAAAGGCTAGACGACTAGTAAGAAGTAGTAATGGGTGCAGGATTCTTTATCTCAGGACTATTGAGACCTTTATCCTTAGGGATCCTAACTGTATCTGTTTCATTCCAAGTATAACTCTTATGCATGGGGTAGAAATAATGTTACATCTGTGTTTTTTCTTTTTCTTTCTTTCTTTTTTTTTTGTAGATTTTAGTTACTTGAAGAGAGGTAGAGAGCACAGGCGGGGGAGGGATAGAGGGAGAAGCAGATTCCCTGCTGAGCAGGGAGCCTGACGTGGGGCTCCATCCCAGGACCCCAAGATCGTGACCTGAGCCGAAGGCAGATGCTTAACCGACTGAGCCACCGAGGCGCCCCAACATCTTTGTTTTTTCTAACTAGTTACTTGGGTCTTGAGATGTTCAGGTTAGTAGAAAACCCTATACTTTCCCTTGAGGGCTATCTCCTATACTTTCCCCCTTGAAGTTTCCAAGAACCTGAGGAGTTCCCTAAGACCAAAGAGACCATGTTTTTTCACAAGTCATTTCGAAGGAAAAGACATTCTTCTCATTCCCTTGTTTCCTCTGATTCTACTACTACAGCATTGCCATTGAAACTGGTTCTGCAGGGCGCCTGGGTGGCTCAGTTGGTTAAGCGACTGCCTTTGGCTCAGGTCATGATCCTGGAGTCCCAGGATTGAGTCCCGCATCAGGCTCCCTGCTCAGCGGGGAGTCTGCTTCTCCCTCTGACCCTCCCCCCTCTCACGCTCTCGCTCTCAAATAAATAAATAAATAAATAAATCTTTAAAAAAAAAAAGTAAGAAAGAAACTGGTTCTGCGGTGTGGTCATGATTGATCTTTGCTCCTAGGATGCCCTTGCAGATCCACATTCCTCAGTCTTCAGGGTGATCCAGAGTTAGACTTCGAAGTTACAACTTTTTTTTAGTTTACTACATATGCTTATATGCTCAGCTATTCCAAAGCACCAGCACCCTGTTCTGTCAGCTGGGCCTCCTGGCTTTCGCCACACACACCCTTGCGTTCACACTCAAAAGCCTTACGTGAAGCCCATATGTTAGCCCAGACCTTCATGATGAATTACCATTTGAGGGTTTTGCTTGTCTTTTCTGCTAGCAGATGGTAGTTGGGACCATTCTAAGCTGTTAAAGAGGTTCAAATACTGCTGCAGGAAGAGACTGGACTTCTCTTTCTCCTTTGTTACTAGACCTATATCCCAAGCCTGCTTTAAATCCTGTGGAGCGGCTTTTCTTATTAGGTGATGAAAGGTCTCATATTGCCCTTCCCAGAGTAGTGGGCATCACCTTTCCTGAGAGGCCATGTTTTGGGTTTAATATTTCATTAAATCCTCTTAACAACCTTGTAAAATAAGGCAGTAAGATGCCTGTTTTATAGAGGAAGACTTTGAGCCCAAGAGAAGTGGCTTGTCCAAGAGCAAATAGCTGTGAGACTTAGGACTTCTGAGTTCTAGACACTTTCCATTATGGCAAGCTAACTCTAATTTACTAACTAATTACTAAATTACTAATTCATGACTGGTTCACCTTACTTTTTTTCTCCTTTCATTACATACTTAATAATTAAGTAATATTAATAAAAAGTGTATAAAACTTATAAATTTGAAGTATATGGGGTACTTTAAGTTTTGATATTAGTTCTGATATTTGAAATACTCTTTTAAGAATTTGGTATTTGGTAAGTGTTTTTCATATCAGTATTGAAAGAGTAACATTGTTTATCACCCTTTTTTATATGTAGCAGTCGCCAACTAATTGCTGAACATAGAGAAGAAAAACTTAACAATTATTTGCAAAATAAGAATCCAGGTAAGACTTTCCAGCATGAATTACTTTTGGTGGTCCTCACATAGATGGAGACAGAGTAAGGAAGTTTTGATAATGAAAGAGCAATGAAAAAAAAAAAAACCAATGTGTAAATTGCATATGTATTTTTTTCTCTCTTTTCTTTTCTTTCTTTCTTTCTTTCTTTTTTTTTTAAGATTTTATCTATTTATTTGACAGAGAGAGAGAGTGAGAGAGCACAAGCAGGGGGAGTGGCAGGCAGAGGGAGAGGGAGAAGCAGGTTTCCCGCCGAGCAGGGAGCCCGATGTGGGGCTTGATCCCAGGGTCTGGGGATCATGAACTAAGCTGAAGGCAGACGCTTAACCAACTGAGTCACCCAGATGCCCCTATTTTTTTTTTCTTTCTTAATTTCTTTCTTAATAGTCTAGTATTCAGGATTATTTAAGAAGTTAATTGTAGGTACTGCTGTCATGAACAATGGGGAAGAAATCAGAGGGAGACAAACCGTGAGAGAGACTGGACTCCGGGAAACAAACTGAGGGTTACAGAAGGGAGGGGGGGTGGGGGGATGGGGTAACCGGGTGATGAGTATTGAGGAGGACACGTGTTATGATGAGCAGTAGGTGTTACGTGCAATTAATGAATTGTTGAACACTACATCAAAAACTCACGGTGTACTGTAAGCTGGCTAACAACATAATAAAGAAATTAAAGTACCTCAGTATGAACAACAACAAAAGAAGTTAATTGTAGGTAATTTAAAATATGAGGCGGTATTGTCTGAAAAGAAATTCATTATTTTAGTCATGACCCCTAAAATCCCATATGATATTTTTGTGTAAATAAGAAAAAGAGATTTTAAAGTTAGTATGTTTTATGTTTTCTCTATAAGCATATTATAATAAATTGAACTTGTTATGAAAATGGATCTTTTAATTTTTACAAGTGGATTACATTTAGTAAATATTATTCTATGGTGACTTGTCTCATTAAAAAAGGAACTATCCTTAAAACTGGGGACTTTACAATACCTTCCTGGTGTCGTAAACAAATGGCAAACAATAAGAACTGCAAAACTTAGCTAGTATGCAGCAATACCAATGAGACTTTTTTTTTTTAAGGTAACTGTCTATTGTTTTTGCAATTTACTCATTTTCATTTGTTCACGTAACAAATAACTATCAAGTGTCTTTTAGCTCCTGAGTGTTATTCTGATGTTGTAGAATGCAAACATTCAAAAAACACAATCCCTGCCCTCCAGGAATTTGTTATTATCCTTGTCATTTTTATTATTTACTCTACTTTATTCAGTGCTTACTATGTGCCAGAGTCCCCTAGTGCTTATAATTACCATTGTTATTTTTTTATTGACATTTAATATGTTCCAGATACTGTAAGTCCATAGTGAGGAATTAGACTTTGAGGAATTAGACTTTTAGTAGAATTTAGGGTAAGTATGCAGACTGAATAGTAAGTTTGCCAGGTAAAGTGGCAGAAGGACGATGTTTGGCAGGAGAAACATCCATCAAGATTACATGTTTTGTGGGGCACCTGGGTGGCTCAGTCGTTAAGTGTCTGCCTTTGGCTCAGGTCGTGATCCTAGGGTCCTGGGATCGAGCCCGATGTCGGGCTCCCTGCTCCGCGGGAAGCCTGCTTCTCCCTCTCCTGCTCCCCCTGCTTGTGTTCCCTCTCTCGCTGTGTCTCTCTCTGTCAAATAAATAAATAAAACCTTTAAAAATAAAAAAAAGATTACATGTTTTGCAGACGGAACAGCAGTGCAAAGGCTAAAATGTACGAGTGAACTTTGGAGGATTTATGAGCAGTTCAGTTTTGCCAGTACAAAAAGTGCGCTATGGGAATGGTTGGAATGAGGTGAATACTTAGCTAAGGCAAGCTTATGAAAGTTTTTCAGTCCTATGGAAAGGAGTAGATCTTACCCTGTAGACCTTGGGAACTTTATCAGGTAAAATGCTTTTAGCTGCAAATAATAGGTGACTTATAATAGTGACTAAAACAGGGGCACCTGGGTGGCTTAGTCAGTTAAGTGTTGACTCTTGGTTTTACACAGTCTCGGGTCATGAGATCAAGCCCCACATCACGTTGGGCTCCGTGCTCATCATGGAGTCAGCTTGAAGATTCTCTTCCTCTGCCCTTCCCCCC